TAATTAAATTACTCATATTACACTTTTAATAATTGACAAATTACACTTAAACTGATTAAAAAAATCTAAAATTGTCATTTGTTTTTGTTTTTCCTGTAAATTAATTTCTGCTACCTGCCTCTCCAGGGTATACAATCCTTTGAATGCATCCTCACCACCTGATCCGCTCTCAATGAATTGCCTCAAAGTAGTGATTGCATCCATTGCTTTTGTCAATTGTCAGGACAACCGGTTCTGGATCTGTGTCTTCGCTATCTTCTTGTTCCAGGTGGTTGGAAATTACCTCCTCCACAGTAGGTAATACTGAAGTCGTAATTTCAGCACAGCAGTCGTAATTTACATAATCTTCAAATGAAGATGCTGCCATCACTGACCAGTGATTAGTCTCCACCAAATATTCCTGTTCAAAATTCTTGTCTTCTACAAACTTGACACCAGCCTTATGTGAGCAGTTGGAAATTGTTTCCAGAGTCACACTTAACCATGCTTTGGCCACATAATGCATGGCATAAAAAGTTGATACGGTCATCAACTTTGAATCCATACCATTATCATTAATAAACAAAGCTTTTTCAACCAGCAATTTTCTGTACTTCCTTTTAAAAGAATGAATTATGCCCAAATCCAGTGCTTGAAGAATGCTAGTACAATTCGGGGGAAAGAATATTAATTTTATATTTCTGAGCTGCAAATCTGTAGGGTGGTCAGGACATCTATCTAGCAGTAATAATACTTTCCGATTTCTTGCTCCCATTTTCGCATCCAGAGCATGCATCGTGGAGGAGAAGACACTGCTGGTCATCCATGCACTACTGTTTGCCTCATTTGGTTGGTAAATTTTTTGTGTGTTTAAAACACCTTGGTTTTTTAAATTTTCCTATTACTAATGGTAGTAATCTTTCGGAATGATCAGCATTCACCATTAACAAAACAGTTACCCTCTGTTTGATGAGCTTCCCATCATGGCACTTTTCACCTTTGAAACACAATGTCTTACTTGGCAGAATGTTATACAAAACTCCTGTTTCATCAACATTGGTAATGGTATCTCTAACAACACTTCGACTTTCCTCGCACACCTGGTTATAAACAATATTATGGCGGGTCTTGAAGCGATCGATCCATCCATTTAATGCTGTGAATTCTGTAATCTCTAACTTTGCTGCAAATTGGAGGGCTTTTACTTGCAAAAGGTTGCCATCAAGCGGAATACCCGATGCCCTCGTAGCAGAAAACCACTCTGCCACAAGTTTGTCCAACTCATTGTTAGATGATCTTACATATTTTCTTTTTGTTGACATAGCACCACACTGTTTTGCGTTAAATTCAATTGTGTTTCTGGTTTTAATTATAGTGCTCAACGTGGGAACCGAGAGTTGAAGCTCCTTGGCTAACTGAACACGTGTTCCCATATGTCCATCAACACGACGCAAAATCTCTATCTTCTCTTTCAATGAAATGCATTTCCTGTCTTTCTTCTCTATATTATAGTTTCCACTATCTTCAACAACAACGTATTTTCAACGATCACCTCTCACACTAACACACCAAACACAGCAAGCTGACTACGAGACGAGACTCGACAAGACTATCACCATGTCTACAAAACTTGTGATATACCCGGAAATAGGAAATGACTGCGCCACGTGAAAACACGGGTTACGTGCCACGACTTCCGCCGAAATCGATTCAAAAATCAGTTTTGCCTAAAAAAAAAAATTGAAGAAAAATAATTACGAAAAAATGTGTAAAAGACTGGAAGCCCTTGATATTAAAGTTGTAAATTGCGGGAAGAGAATGCATTGTAAATATAGACTTTTTGATGGGACCAATGAAAAATTACGTAAAAGGCAGGAAAACGTAAAATGCGGGAACGTAAAAACGAGATTTTACTGTATATAGATTCAATGGGAGGATATTGGCTGCTGTTGACATCAGAGATCTTGGAGTTATGTTCGACAGTATACTCGGTTTCAGCAACCACATTAACAGTATTGTTCATGAAGCTCTGCGATCGCGGGTTTTATCCTGCGAAACTCATCGCAATTTCAATCACTCAACATGATCAAACTACGTATCATCTCAAGCTGAATGTTCTGTAATCTCTTTTAGCCCTGATCATATATATTTGCACTGGAATATGGCCCATTCTGAGATTTTTTTCTGGTGAGAGTAAAATTTCCTTCTTAGGTTTTATTGTGTTTTCTGTTTGTGAAGTTTTTAATATGTGTTATATGAAGTAAAGTTTTAGAAACTATCGTGTCAACATAATTCTCCTCCTGAATGCTGGAATAAGAGAAATAAGATAAGAAACATAAGTTTAAATAATGAATACAGAGAAGTGTCATGTGTAATGAGCGGCTTCGGTTAGAGTAACAGTTTGCATATCTGACTGTGATACCTAAGTTCGCTGGCTCTAAACCCAATCGAAGCTATGAAGGATTTTTAAAAGCTAAAAAGTACTTTGTATGCCTTCCTTTGAAAGGGTAGAAAAGTATGCAGCCCCATGTTGTACTGCATGTAAATTACCTTAAAATCTGAAATGAACCTGAGCCAAATTTAAATTGTCTATATTGTTAAGTGATACCTTCTTTCCCTGCTAATGGTGAAACGAGCATAACCCACTATATCCCATAACAAAAAATGTTCTCAGATTTTGATCAAATTTCACAGGAGCATTACCGAAGGGTTCTGGATGACATTTTGTTTTGAATTAAAATTAAAATTCATTGAAATATTTCACGTATTGTTTATCATTTAGTGGGAAGTAAAAAGTAGAATGGTTGAGTTTCAAATGAAAGACATTTCAGTCACTAGAGAGTGAGAAACAAAATTCTTGTCATGTGATTTTAAAAGGAGGTTACAAATTCATGCTTTATATTTTTAGTGATTTCCACACGATTACCACTTTGTTATAAGCAGTTCTGAGTAATGTTGCCAATACAAATATTTTCAACTGCAGTGTGTGCCCTAGTTTTCTTAGGACTGCTTGCTTGCACCACATACAGCTGAAATTTTAAAACAACCATTAGATATCGCTGTAAACATTTTTTTCTTCTTTAACAATGTTAGTATTTTCATGTGGAAGAAATGGTGGATTTTGTAAAAAGGATTTCCTGATATAGAATTGAAAACGAGCATTGATGCTGTCTGGTCTGGTATCCAAGTACAAGTTTGTGCACGAGCTTACAGTATCAAGAGAGAAACAGTATAGTAGTGTATTTATAAATTTCATCATGGTTTAGTTGTATCATTATCCCTTTTGACTAGCATATCTTAGTTTCTTTTGTAAAAATTTCTACCAAATCGATTGTTACTTCCCGAAAAAGATTAATGGGATTCATTAGATGTGCAAAGCTGTTCATTTACATCTGGAATTTACACTTGTATTACTGGAAGTGCCAAATGTATGTGAAAAATTTAATTTTTCTTTGTCCAGTATCTGTTTTTCCTAATTCGAGATTTTGCTTCATAAAGGCATGATTTGGTTCAGAATTTTCCAGCACGAGAAGAAATAATGTCTGTAATGAACCCTTTACTGCTGATTGTTCTTACTTATGCAGCTTCAGCTATTTTTTGTAAATCACCTGGAGTGGCTGGTTATCCTTCTGAATGAATACCGGTGTGATCTTTATTGTTGTATTTTCCGTCATTGGGAGGGAAAAGTGCAAATTCAAGTTCCTGAACTCCATCAAAGAGTACTCTTAAAATTTCGTGATCTTCGATTATGTTGAGAATGTTGAAAACTTCCTTCTCACTTCTCTCTTAATTCAATACTAATCTGAAAGGGATAAAACAAATTGCAAGAAATTATCCCTTTAGTGCCCACTATGATATTTCATATGTTCAAAATCCATTCTGAATAGTGCAAAGATAAGCAAACGGATGTTAATAAAACTGTGCTAATATTAATCTTCTAGGTTTTCGTAAACATATTCCACAATTATTTCATCAAAATAATAAAAGTAATAATGGAAATAATTTTTTACTTAGAGGCTGCAAGTGTTGAGACACAGCAACAATGCTGTTACTATTTAAAATGGTTTTAACCACAAAATAAAATACTCCTGCACTTTAGTGCCAGCTGTTTGAACTACAATAGCATTCAAACTAAAAGTATATCCATGAAAGGAAACGCTGTTGTTCAAATTAAGCGTTCTAAAATGAAAACCATTCGTTATGTGTTTGCATATGATAAATCATATGATGGGTTATAATGGGTTAATGAGATTTGCATGGTCAGGTGAAAGAGGAGGCCTGAATGCTTGAGCCTCACTATGTTATAAAAAAAGGCAATGAATTGAATCAAAGGCATTGGGAAATAAGGGAGGGAAGTCATGATTCCAAAATACCTATATTGTCACTTGGAGACACAGGACATTTTAAGGCAGAAAAATCTGGAAAATTGATTCAGGTGGGGCATGGTGTTTTGAGTAGTAGGCTTTTGGTGTTAAACGGATAAATATGCAATAAAAAATAAATTTTGATTTCTTAATTAAGTTTTATTTAATTAAAAGTTAATTAAGGCTTTGAAAAGCAGTAAATTGTATATTTCATTGCAGTGCAACATTAATTTCGGTGAACTTATTGGCCATGAAATCCTTATACAAAAGGATAAAAGACATAGTTTACAGCCACCAGTACCAGAATATTGTGGCCTTCTCTTGTTCATAATACCTATCTATATTAATATGCAGAGAGCTTTTTCTGATATACTTGCTTTTTCAATCAGTGACAGTACAAGGAATTATAAAACTTGTACCGACTTGTACTTGTTATAGATAATAAGCTAGCTGCCCTTGGAATTTGAGGGCTTGCCAGCTTTGTAATTTGCAGTACACACACAAAAAAGGGAGGGTAATCATGTGTCCATAACATTGCGTGGTAATTATTTTGTCCAAGTTGATAGTGAGTCCAAGAATTTGATTTATCAATTTGAATAAGTGTTGAATGAAATATACAAGATGGAAATTTTTGAAGGTAATTTTTTGTATTTTTAGGTAAAGAAGGCTGATGCTTCTGCGACTGCTGAAGATCAAGATGAATTTGATGATTTAATTGATAAACCTACAAAATCACTTAAAGACAGACTTGGCAATTCTCCTGAAGAAATTGAGAAGAAGTTGCAGGCAAAAAGGAAAAGTTAGTATCAAAATTATAAATTCTTAGGGATGTATTACACAAGTATCCTGTGTCTACTCAATTTTCATGGTTTTTAACACAATTTCCATGGTACATTTCACATTTTTCCTTAACGAACTTTCACTCCCAGTCAGTGGTTTTGCAAAATCTTTGAGCAAATCAGAAATTGCTTAGAAAATTGTCCAGTAAAATTGCAGTAGATAAGTTTCCTGTTGAATTTAGTTCATTGTTGTAAGTCCATTTTCATTAATGGTTTATTAAATAAATTATTAGAATGCAAAGAAAATAATTCCAAACTGATCTGTAATACATTTTAAAATTAAATTATTGTTAGAATTTTTGATCTATGTTTTGGGGCAAGAAATTTTTTAAATCAAATCATTCTTACCTATTGTAAATGAATAATGTAATCATCAGGAAAAACTATTTATTTGTTTCTTGGAAATGTCTACAAACTGCAAATCTTCAGCACTATATAACGAGAATCTTTCTCACACTTACTCTCTCTCCCTCCCACTTTCTCTCTCCCCCTCCCACTTTCTCTCTCCCCCTCCCACTTTCTCTCTCCCCCTCCCACTTTCTCTCTCCCCCTC